CTCAGAGTTACCACCTAAGGAGGAGATCACCCCCCTGGGGTTCCCCAGGAGACTCCAAAGCCCTGGGGGAAGTAATGCAGCCCAAGGCGCCTAGAGAGGCCTAACACTGCAGTTCCCTTCCAATGCAGTTTTTTGGCTACAGCAATGTCTCCCATTTCTGTTGGTTTTCAATCCCTTTTCCGTATCCACAATTTATGAAAAATCAAGCAAGTTTAATATCAAAATTTCTGACTTTGGAATGTTTAGAGTTCAAAGCTTTCGAACATTAGCCATGAAAGATTTGGTAGAACTCATTTATATCTTATTTTATGGTTTAAACATATACATGAATAAGTTTAGATGGGATGAGGTAAATATTTTTTTTTAAATCTCCTTAATATCCTATATAATAAAAGCATAATATGCAAATTGACTGAACAGCCAAACAGCGAAACGACCATCTGGACGACCATCTGGGACCACGCTATGACACCCACTGGCGCCAGGCCAGCCAAGGCGGCTGCGATGCGATTGGTTGTGGGCCTGGCCATCACCCCATAATTGCCCCTGCAGAGGGAGGCCCAGGCCACTGACCGGTGGGCTGTGGCGGGTAGGCGGAACCTCCCTCTGTGAGGGAAGCCCGGGTCCCAGGTGCCAGAGGGAAGCCGGTGCTGGCAGCCAGGGGAAAGGAAGGCCTACTCTTGCACGAATTTCGTGCATCAGTCCTCTAGTTCATATATATCTTGTGAGGGAAGCCCGGGTCCTAGGTGCCAGAGGGAAGCCGGTGCTGGCAGCCGGGGGAAAGGAAGGCCTACTCTTGCACGAATTTCGTGCATCAGTCCTCTAGTTCATATATATCTTGCAAGCCATCAGGCTGAGTTTTCCTTTGGAGCTACTAGTAACCAACTCTGAAGTTGTACACTTGTCCAGATATATGAATTCCCATCAAGATTTATACTTTTTAATATTTGAATAACACAGATATAAAAATGAGAGAAACAGGGTGGAGGACGAGAAATTGAACTCATTTTAGGGGAGTATCTCAGTGCAAAGAGGCCACGAGTCAATAAGTTGAGAAGGCCTCAGGACCAATATGTCTGGTCCTCTTAATTTCTTACAGCAAGCAAATCATTGCTTTACAAAGCACAAGAAACACCTCTCTCCCACAATCTTATTGTAAAATGCCCTAAAATGGCTATTAGTTTCCATTTTGTTTTGAAGGTGAACAATCTCAAATCATAATCATAACAGCGCTATGTACAAGAAGTATCAACCCTACTCCCTATCTTCTATTAATTTTTATTTACCTTTCTGTGATGGTACCTTGTGGGCAAGGTCAGAATTGCCTAAGCAATTATCATCCATATAGAGAAGTAGAAGAATGGGAAAAGAGACAATATTTGAAATGTGTTAAGATAATTGACTGATAACTCAGTAACATTGGAAAGAATGAGGATGCATTTTGAATCAATATTGGCAGAAATAATTTTCCTAAAGGCATTCTTTTAGAAGAATACCTCCTACGCTACCTCACACACCTTCCCTGTATACCTAGTCAACCCCTTTCCCTGAAGTTTCTAGCTCAAGTGTTATTTGTTTTCATGAGGTCTTTTCAACCAGTGCAGCCAATACCTGTTTATCCCTCAAGAGAGCTGCTCTCATCTCTTTCACGTCTGCCTGTACCTCCTCCTCCCCCCTCTTGGCAACACTTGGGGTTCTTAATTATATTTAATAATGACTGCATCACCACTAAAATGAAGAAAGGGTAAGGAGGTATGCTGCATTCATAAGAAGGACATTATGAAGCCACGGGCTTGGAAATGTTCCAGCAAATCCAAGTAAGCAGCATTGATTAGGACTCTGCTCATGGGCCCAGCATAGGGATTCTTCATCAAAATAGATATGCGAATTGGATGGTGGTAAGATTGCATGGACATGAAAAGCATGCAGGGAAATAAAAGTTCTGTGCCATCCCGGGAGCTGTGACACTACATTTTAGTTTCACGCAGATTGTGAGTCATTCGAGTGAGGGGAAGGAGCACATGAGTCAAGCGGAGAGCCCCATCCACCCTGGGTGTTTTATGGGACCTTCAGCACCTCTGCCCCATTTGTCTCCACTCCTTCTGGTAAGAGATACAGCCCCTGGGCTTGGGTAAATGATATGACCTCATTTCTTAGAATCCTTTGCCTTGAGTCACTGTCTCCATTGCCCCAGGGTCAGTTCCAGAGCATTGGTGGAGGCTCTGCTCAGATAACCTGCACTGGGCATTCACTCACAAACCTCGCCTGGAGTCTCAGCTCCAGTTACTTACAAACTTTAAAAGTTAAATAGGAAAATAAGGTATCTGTATAGCATATCCTAACTGTCTTTTTATTCTTTAGAGAAAACAGATCACATCCTCATGACTTTAGGCCCAGCTATCTTGGCCTCCTTGCCATATGCCTACCACCAACTGGGCTCCAATCTCAGGATGTGGTTTCTTTCTGGTCCTTCTGCCTGAAGGGCTCTTGTCGGACCTAAACACAAGGCTGCCTCCCTCACTGCCTGAAGGTCTGTGCATATAGTTTACCTGTCAAAGAGATCTTCTCAACCCCCTTTGGTCAAACAGTTCCTAACCATTTGCTATTCCCTCTACCATGCTTTGTTTTTCTTTAGAGCATTTATCACTATCTCTATATGAACAAAATGTATAAATATTGAGAGTAGGGACCTTATTTATTGTTTTACCCCCATACCTAAAATAATGCCTTTTATATATAGGCCTTCAAGAAGAAATCCATGTTGAATAAATAAATACACAAATTAATGTTCGCTAACCTACTAGTGAAGGGTATTGAGCTTTGTGAATTGCCACTGTGTTGCTCCAATTTATATTGGAGCAATTTATATTGCCTACGACAAGTTAAAGAATAAGTCTATAAACTGTAAAAGCTATTTCTCAAGTAAAACAGAAAAATAAGGTATTTGTATAGCTTAAATAACATCTTCTAGGATTCAAGTTATTTTCCCATAAAGTATAATGTCACCTCTAGGGTTGTCCCAACTAGGTTGGCCCAAGTTTGCCTACTTCTAATACATTGTCTTTGTTTGTTTCTGCCAGAGTGATCTCATCAAAATGCACATATAATTAAGTCACTATTTTAAAAAGCCCATTAATGACTTGCTTAGGAGAAAGCATATTATTGCTTTAATGACATTCCTAGGACAGAGTTCAAACTTTTTAATTTACTCTTGTCAGATTTAGAACTTATCTCACAAACCTCATCATATGTCATCTCTGTGTTTTAGTCTCGATGGCTTTTTTTCCCCCAGGCCCCCAACAGTTCCATTGTCTGTCTTGACTTCATACCTGCATTTACCTTGCCCTCTCTTCTTCCTCCCTCAATTTCTAATGCATGCTTTGGCGCAGCTAATTCCTGTTCATTCTTCAAGTCTCAGTTTAAATGCAAATCTTGATTATGTTTGTCTATTTGCCTATCAATCTACCTCTCTATCCATCCTATGTTAATATGATGGACAGGGCCAATATTCAACTGGGTTTGAACTAAAAAATGTCAATTTCCTATTACTTCACCGCGAATGTTTGTCTTTCTTTGTTATACTCTAAGATCCACAAGCAAAAGATCATGTCTTCCTTATTAATTATTATATCCTCAGTGCCTAAAGCTTAGTACATTTTCTCTCAATATTCTTTGAATGAATGTGCTGTCCCGTGTCAGTGGTTACTATTATTGTGGAAATAGCATTTGTTTATTATTTTAGAGCTGTCATAATTACTTTGTAAAATCTATTCAGTGACTATATTCAAATCACAAATGAGGGTAGATTATTTAGAAAGAGAAAAAGGGGAAGGTTAAAGAGGAGAAAAATGAGAAGGAAGAGTTTGCAAAAGAGGAAGGTAGGACAGACTTGAGAAAGGGTGATGGAAGAAGAACCAGAACAAGAATAAAAATGAGAAGGGAAGGAGGAAGAGAGAAAGAGGACAGAAGAGGGAAGGAATATAGAACTAATAGGCCTCATAGTAATTTCACTGTCAGTTATTTAGACAGTTGTCTTGTGTCATCATATTTTCAATGCACATGTATTTCTTATTTTAATCCTTGTCTGAGGATATGTTTTTATTGATTTTAGAGAGAGAGGAATTGAGAGAGAGAAACATCCATATGTGCCCCCACTGGGAATCGAATCCTCAACCTTTTGGGGTAAGGGATGATGTTCCAACCAACTGAGCCAGTAGGCCAGAGCCACATGTATTCATTCTTTTACCATTTTTTCATGGTCCCAGTTTTGATCACCTAGCTTTAAGTTTATAGATCACAATTTCTTTTTTCAAATACCACTCATTTGCATGAATTTCTATCTCTTTCACTTGTAAGTTGTAATCTCTATAGTATATTTCTGTTTTATTATTTAGATGTTTTTCTCTTGATTTTTATTTTCTTATTTAGCTATATGATATTTTTATTTCATAAAATATTTCTCATCTTGTAATTTTGAAAAATTTGTTTATACTTAGTGTTGTGATTTTTATATGAATCACAATAACTATCAAATCAAGAAAGTAGATTGTCCTTTATATAAAAATTAAGTGTCAAATATTAAGAACCATAACATAAACAAATAAAAAATATAAATTGCTGTTTTGCATAAGCATCATAAAACAGCAAAATAACTATGCAAATTAATTATATTTCATGATAATTATCAGAAATTGTAGCAGTTCCTGTGACAAAAATGTTTAAGGTCAACTATTCAAAATAAATGTTAAAAAGATAACTTCAAATTACCTTGAAATAAGTAACATATTATGAGGACTATAATTAATGCATAATTAATTTATATTTACATGGCATTGTTGAAGACTATACTCATTAAGGTTTTTTGGTTTTGCATCTAAAGATATAGAAAAAATAAATATCCCCCATGATGGAGTTCATTAACTTTTTTAAAGAGAGCCTTTAAAGCTGAAGTAGCAAGGAAGATAGAAGTCAGAGTGATAATGATTGAGGAAAGGTCTTACCATCTAGATCATTCTCTGGGGTCTCCGCTGTGTGCCAGTTGGAAGCTGGTCCCGTGCCATTGACTGTCATGGCTGACACTTGAAAACTGTACTGACTTCCTTTCTCCAGTCCTAGGAAAGAGTTTTCCACAAAGGAAAAAAAAAATACTGAGTAACTATTTCTAGCTGAGTTTCAAAACTTTTAGTTAAATTTTAACTACTGTAGACATGCTTTATGTCGTTTGTGATGGTTGAGGTAATTATTGTTATTTTGGCCAAAAGGTCAGACATATTATAGCAAGAACTCAAATTATTTTTCATATATTCTTATTTATTTTGGTCCAGTTTATAAAAATGTATTCCTGAAAATAGCCTCAGGGTAGATGCAGAATATAAAATATGAACGATGAAGAAATAATCAGAAATAGCAAGGATCATTTTTCCTCACAGTCCGGAAGAGGCCTGCCTATAAATCAAAAACCATCAATCTAAAAATTTATGTCCTCATCATCCATCCAAGGTCAGTGATTATGTTTTATTTGGGCAAAGCAAAAAGAATCCAAAGCTACTGCACTTCAGCAAAAAATATTAGGGCTTTCGTCTCCCAAAACCGTCGCAAGGCATACTTTGTTTTGCATTGCTTCCATAATAGAGCATGACACAAGTCTATCTCTATGATAATTAGTACAAATAATATTGTATATTGCAGGCTAATTTTAGAGTACAGGTAGATGAGAGAGCCCGTGGATCATTAGTGTGATATGTGTTAATTTTGTATGTAAATAATTTTCCTTTTAGCTGAATCGCTAGTAGCTCATTAACACAACAAATTACTGTAAAACAGATGACACCTGTCAAAGGAACACATGACTTTTTTGAGATGTTGAGGACTCAGTTGAAATTGACAAGTCCTTAAACCTCAAGGTGTTGAACAACCCCGATAAAGATAAAAATATAATCCCTCTTTGCTTTTTTTCGTTAATCACACATGGCACACACATTTGGTGCCAAGGAAAATTCATAAAGAAAGTAAACTACTAAGGAAATGAGACTTATATAATGTACAACATTATGCATTTGCAGATTTTTGCATAGGAGAATGAACACATGTTGGTATTAAGGGGAAGTATAACTTACTACTCAGAGGAGATAGTGTTTTAAGTGATGGATAGCATGGACTTCTTAATGTCAAGGGACAATTGCCATCAATAAATAGTACCATTAGAGAAGACAACTTGATTAACTCGCCCACACAAAGGTATCTATAACACAAAATGTCCTGTTAAGGACTTCTGATTTTATAAAATACACTGAAGCTCCATGAAGACATGGCCCGAGAATGGTGTTGGTACTGTTGTTTTTGTTATTATTCGTATTTTAACTGTATATCTACAGAACCCAGCCTGACACATGAAAGGCACACACATAAAACAACTATTGAAAGATTCACTAACACACGAAGAAACTATAATGATAAAATATAATGATAAAATATCCAACATCATCAGGAAGGTGGCAAACACATACTTTTGAACATAAGATCTTTGTCATGCCTCACGGAGGCTCATTGCTCACCATGTTTTGTCCTTGGGTTATCTGCTATTTGTTAATATCTGATATCTTCTTAATGAGATTTAAGTGCACAATACAGTATTGTTGATTGTAGGCACTATGGTGCAACACAGATCTCTACAACTTACACAACTTGTGTAATTGTCACTTTATACCCACTGAACAGCTTCTCATGTACTCTCTCCCTTGTCCCTGGCATTCTATACTCTGCTTCTATGAGTTTGACACTTTATACCTCATGTAAGTAGAATCATGCAGTATTTGTCCTTCTGTGACTGACTGATTTCACTTAGCATGTCTTCCATGTTGTCGCAAATGGCAGGATGTCCTTGTTTTTAAAGGCTGAAGACTATTCCATTGTATGTAGATACCACACTAAGAGACTCCTTTATCAGTGGACATTGGGTTATTTCTTTATCTCGGCTACTGTGAATAATGCTGCAGGGAGCCTGGACGTGCAGTGTCCTTTCCAGATACGGATTTCAATTCCTTTGATGTATTCCCAGATGTGGGATTGCTGGGTCATCGGCAGTTCGATTATTAATCGGCAGTTCAATTTTTAATATTTTGAGGAACCTCTCTACTGTTTTCAGCATAGTTTTTGCTTTCAAAGTTAATGTTGGTATTAGTGCGTACATGTTTGAAATACTTTAATATTAATAAGCCTCTACAGATTCATATAACAGCCAGTCATTTAGGGAGCTAAAGACAACAACATTGTATAGCACAGGCTGCATATAACCAGGAGTCAGGAAACCTGTAATTTAGTTGGGATCATCACTTTAACTAGTAAACAAATGTTAGCAATGTCAGGCTTTGGGCCTCTGCTACCTTTTCCGTAAAACAAGGGGAATAGGTGAGATAAATGGTATAGTTCCTGCTTTGGTTAGTTCAGGCTCCAATCTCATTGTGTGTGTGTGTGTGTGTGTGTGTGTGTGTGTGTGTGCGCGCGCGCGCGCAAGCATGTGCACATGTGTTACTCAGCTGCTTCTAACTATAATTTAGTTCTAAAAAAAGTATGGTGTAGGTAGCAATTCTTTTCTTAGTTGTAACAAAATTTCACTGTCTAAAGCTGATTGCCTTCTGCCTATCTCTATCTCCAACAATACTAAGCCCCTTCAAGCTTTGTAATTCTTTTGTTCTATTTCTCCTTTCTTAGAGCTTATGGCAAGAGACGGTATATTATTCAAACAATATGATCCCCCTTTATTCTCCTAATGTTAACCTTGTTATAAAATGTCTATGCTATTGTTTTAGTTTTTCAGTCCTTGAAATATCAATGTGTGTTTATCATTGTTTATTCTATCTCAGCCATGAAACACAAGAAAACTCCTGAACTCAATCCCAAACAAGCTTTTCTGAAGAGCTCTCAAAAATTAAAAACAGCATTTTAAAATATAGTTGACAGGGCTTTCCACAATAAACTCATCATTGTGGTTTAAAATCCTTGTTATAACTCGGAATTACTTTGTTATTGCAGATGTCTCATTCTCCTAGCAAAACACACAACAACGACAACAACACACACCTGTATAACACACAGAGGTTTGTACAAAAAAGTGTTTGCGTGTCTATACCTGAATATTTATTTATATCGTCAAATGAAACATCTGGCATTTCCAATTTTCTAACGGCCAAATCAATATATCCACGTGTCTTACAGGTATTGAAAACATGGGGTCAAATCCTGTACATTTTAAAGTGTTGGAGATCACCATAGAAAAATCAATTACTCTGCTTACTAGAAAGTGCGTAAGTTACTAAATATATCCTGGGGACAAGTGAAAAACCACAGCCAATCTACCAGGGTAAGTTCCGTGCTGACTTCTCCACGCTTTGCAACATTGAAGATATTTCCACAACATCTAGAAATGCAGCAGGCACAAGGGAAGCCAGTCCACACAGCAGAGGAAGAGAAGGCAAATATTTTGTAAAACTTGTCTTTAATGTTTTCAGGGCATAAGGCTATTTTCTGGCTCTTTTTTATTTCTTTGCTTCAAATTAAAACTGGCACTTGTGTGGCTTTTTTTGCAATAAACATCAGTTACAGTTTTAAATATAACTGCTCAGGTGATGTTTGCATTTTATAAATATCGAAAGGAAGAAAGAACAGTATGAATGAAGGCTTCAGATTTGGAGTCGAGATTCCTACGAAGCTATGCAAGTGAAAGCAAGCATTTGTGAGCTAGTCCAGTAACAAGTTGAGCTACTTCTTTGCCATAAGCTGGAATGATATTAAACCAGAGTGGTGATGGGTTATGTCATGTTGATTTGAAGCTCTGATTGTCACACATATTTTAGATGAATAAAACATGTGGGACTAAATTATTTATTTTTGAATAAACAAAGTTTATGAGAGGATACAATTCAAAATAATTGTCCTTGAGAGAAAAATAATAGGAGGTGTCTCTGGTGAGTTGAATAGTGTCCCCCTGAATATTAGAATGTGACCTTCCTTGAAAATAGGGCCCCTGCAGAGATAATAAGTTCAAGATTTCAAGATGAGTCTCTGCCTCACTCCATTTCTCTCTCTAAAAATTAAAAAGCCCTGGCTGGTGAGGCTCAGTTGGTTGAGTGTCATCCCAGACATCTAAAGGTCACTGGTTCAATTCCTGGTCAGGGCACAGACCCAGGTTGGAGGTTTGATCCTAGTCGGGGGTATACAGGAGGCAACTGATAAATGTATCTCTCTCCCTCTTCCTTCCTCTCTCTCTAAAAATCAATACAAACAGATTTAAAATATTTCAAGATGAAATCATCCTGGATTCATGGTGGGATATACACCATGACTGGTGTCCTTATGAGAAGAGGAGAGGCCATGGAGACACACAGAAGGTCTGCAGAAATGGAGGCAAATATCTGAGCAATGCATCTATAAGCCAAAGAATGTCAAGGATTGCCAGCAACCACTGGAGGTTAGGAGAGAAACGTGGGATGAATGCTCTCTCATAACCTCCAAAAGGAACCAATCCTGCTGATGCATTGATTTTTAACTTCTCACTTCCTGAACTGAAAGAAAAAAAAATCTGTTTTAAGCTACCACGTTTGTGGTAATTTATTATGTCAGCCCTAGGACTAATATAGGGTCTTTGGTAGTGAAAAGGCTTATGCTTGCTGTTCTCTGTATAATCATTTTTAAAAAATGATTAGCTATGGTAAATTGTGCTGCTATGAACATAGGGGTGCATATATCCTTTTTGATTGATGTTTCTGGTTTCTTGGGATATATTCCTAGAAGTGGGATCACTGGGTCAAATGGGAGATCCATTTTTAGTTTTTTGAGGAAACTCCATACTGTTCTCCACAGTGGCTGCACCAGTCTGCATTCCCACCAGCAGTGCACGAGGGTTCCTTTTTCTCCGCATCCTCGCCAGCACTTGTCGTTTGTTGCTTTGTTGATGACAGCCATTCTGACAGGTGTGAGGTGGTATTGCATCATTGTTTTGATTTGCATCTCTCTGATAATTAGTGACTTTGAGCATGTTTTTATATGTCTCTTGGCCTTTCTTATGTCCTCTTTCAAAAAGTATCTATTTAGTTACGTTTCCCATTTTTTGATTGGGTTTATCTTTCTTTTGTTAAGTTGTATGAGTTCCCTGTAAATGTTGGAGATTAAACTCTTATTGGTGATAACATTGGCAAATATGTTCTCCCATGCAGTGGGCTTTCTTGTTGTTTTGTTGATGGTTTCTTTTGCTGTGCAGAAGCTTTTTATTTTGATGTAGTCCCATTTGTTTATTTTCTCTTTAGTTTCCAATGCCCTAGGAGCTGTATC